TCGGGTGGGGGCCGCCAGCCGTGGCCCTGGCCCCGCGCGGGGGGCCCGCGCTGACGGGCCTCTCTCCTTGCAGCCCACGAGCCCGCACCGCGGCTGGTTCGTGGCGCCCTTCGGAGGCAACCCCTGGTGGGTGTACCTGGCGGCCGCCATCCCCGCGCTGCTGGTCACCATCCTGATCTTCATGGACCAGCAGATCACCGCCGTGATTGTGAACAGGAAGGAGCATAAGCTCAAGGTAGGTGCCCCCGCGGGTCCCGCCGCCTCCTGCTTCCTCCGAAGCCCCGAGCGCCAGCGCTGATGCAAAACCCCGCCGGCTGGCCCGGGGGCTGCAGCCGGTGCTCCTCCAGGCTCGGGGCCGGCTCACCTGGCGTGGGCACAGCTCCGTGCGGTGCTTCAGGGGGGTTTCCTTTAAACGGAAGGTGTTTCGCCTTGTGCTTCCTTGGCCACCGAGGAGAGCGATACAAACGGCTTTCCCTCGGCCGCCCTCGCCCTACACCCGACCTTCACGCGGCAACCGTCTTTCCTGAAGACAGTGACCGGTGCTTGTTCCCAGGCTATTGAGATGTGGCAACGCGGACAACCGTGTGCTGGTCGCCGGAGGACAAGGGGGCCGGGGGGCAGTGCAGGGTGGCGGGTCAAACACAGGGACAAACGAAACTAGACTTGGGGTGGTGAGCGATGCAACACAGAGGGAAGGTACCCGACACTCGCACACTTGAAGCCCATATAATTTTATTAACCCAATACATTTAATTTAAAACTTTAAAAAAAGAAACTGTTGAGATAAAAATGTGCATTTTCTTCTTTAATTGGTTGCTGGTGAGTTATGTTAATATATTTTGTATTGTTGAACCAACCTCGCAACCTGGTAGAATATAGTTTCTTTTTTATACATAGTTGGATTTGGTTTGCATATATATTTGGGGGGGCAGGGGGTTTTTGCATCTTTGATTAAGAGTGACATCGGCCTGCAATTTTCCTTTTTTATAGTGTCCCTGTTCGATTTTGGTATCAGCTGTATACTAGTCTTATAAAATCAGCTGGGAAATGTTTCTCCTTCTGTTCCTCTTCTGTCCCACCCTCTCAAATGGAATATAATATTCTTTTTATTTTGTGCAGCATGCCAATTATCTTTTCTTTGAATGATCAGCCACGCTTGTAAAACTAGCCGAGAGATTTCTGTGTGGAACTTGTAAAACTGATGATTAGAATGTTTTAATGGTTACAAAACACTCAGAATTTCTATTTTTTTAAAATTTTAGTAACTTACACTTTCTTAGTTTATTCTATTTCCCTTATATTTTCAAATTTATTGCCATGTCATTGATAATATTATCTTTTTTTATTTTTCTAAGTCTGTTATTTTTTCTTTTAAATTCCTAATGTTATTGATTTGTGCTTTTTACTTTCCTTGACCAGTCTAGCCTGAGATTTGGTAATTGTACTATTCTGTTTTCAAAGAAGCAACTTTTTACTATATTAATTTTCTACACTATATCTTTGTTTTGTTAATATTTTCTTTATTTGTTTTGAAGCCATGTTAAGTACATGCACGTTTATATTTAGTTTATCTTTTAGTGAATTGAACTTTTTATGTGATTCTCTTTATTTCTATTAATGCTTTTTGCCTTAGAGCTTGTTTTATTTTGTACTAATACAGCTGTGGTCACTTTTTTTTTTAAAATGTATCTTTATTGATTTGAGAGAGAGGAAGGGAGAGGGAGAGAGAGAAACATCAATGATGAGAGTCATTGATCGGCTGCCTCCTGCACGACCCCAACTGGGGATCGAGCCCGCAACCCGGGCATGTGCCCTGGCCGAGAATTGAACCCCCATTGCGTGGATCCTAGGTCAGTGCTCAACCACTGAGCCAGGCCTGCCGGGCAAGCTGTGGTCACTTTTAATTTTTACTTGTCTGATACGTATTTTTCCATTCCTTTTTTTTTTTTTTTTCAATATACCTGTGTCTTGTGTCTCTTTTTAAATTACACATAACTGGGCTTTTAAAACAATCCATTTTTACATTCTTTGCTTTTAACTAAAGTATTTCATTCATTTAATTGATACTGATGACTGAGAGATGTGAATTCATTTTTACCACATTACTTTGCTTTCTACTTGTCTAACTTTCTCTGTGTTCTTCTTCTTTAAAAATTCTCCTTTTTTTCCCTCTTTTAGGTTGATACAGTTTTTTTTCTATTACTTTGGAAGTTATACACTTTATTTTTTCTTTTAGTGATATGTTGCATATTTCAAAATGCATGTTTAAGTTCTAAAGTTAGTATGCTGAATATTGCTAAATACTAAAGATGGTTTCTATTGATACTCCTTCCTGAATCACATGCTGGTCTTACCCAGATTTTATTGCTATCTGGATTTTAAAATCCAATGAATTAGACATGGTCAGTATTTTTAAATTTACGTACAAGTTTGCATTTTCTTTTCTTTTTTTCTTTTTGCATTCCAGACCTTTGTTTTTGGAATACTTTCCTTTAGACTCAATTATTTCTCTTAAGCAGAACTTACCAGACTCTTGAAATTTCCTCTTGTGAGAATCTGCGTGATAAGCTGTCCCATTTGTGTTGGTCTAAAAATGTTTTTGTCTCACCCTCATTATTGAAAGGTGGTTTCTCTGGATATAATTTAAGTTGAGAGCTATTTTTTTCATCACTCAGAAGCTATTTTCCATTATTTCTGACTCCCATAAAAGTGAACTGTCAGTATAATTCTCATTCCTTTGTATGTAATCATTCTTTTCTTTTGGGTGCTCTTATCATCTTTTTTGTTTTTATTATGGAGTTTCACTCTAACCTGTGTAAGCATAGATTTCTTTTTACTATATGTTACATTATATATTGGATTATTGGGCTTCCTGAATCTTCCAGTCTTTTACCAAATTACAGAGTTTTTTAAATCTTTGACTTTTTCAATTACTAATACATCCTTCTGGAATTCCAAGTAGAATTTCCTCATACATCTCCATATTGCATTCCATTTCTGATTGATTGATTGATTGATTGATTGATTGATTGATTTTTACATCTCTTATCTCTTGGTCTCTGTTATATTTGGGGCAGTTTCTTCAGATCTTTATTTTTTTTTATTTTTTTATTAATTCTTTCTTATGTTGGTTCTGTTCTACTACCAAACTTGTCCATTAAATTTTTTCCTTTCGTGTATTATATACTTTTAAATTATTATTTTATACACTCTTTTATTTATTTTGTATATATGTTATATTTGTAGGTCTGATTCTGAACTTTGCTTTTTGGCTGACTCTCAGTCCTGGTGTTGTTCTTCCTTATGTATTTAGCACTTTATTTTTTTAACTTATGAGCTAATCTTCCTATGCACATCTCCAGAGTCTTCCAGAGAAGATTTTATTTGCTTCTGGGAGGTATAGGAGAGTCCAACCAATTCAGTAATACTTTACTTTTACTTATTCCTATAAAAAGATCTTTTATTACAGAAAGTAGAAAGTTTTTTTATGGAAGTTTTAAACATATATAGAGGTAGACAAAATGGTGTATCAGATATGAATCACTCAACTCACAGTTATCAACTCATGTCCAATCTTGTATCGTTTTAATCCCCCTCAGCTTACCCCTTCCTATAACACTTTGAAGCAGAAGCAGAGAGCATTTCATATTATCTATGCCCCTTAAAGAGTATGTATTTCTAATGGTATCTTTGGCTACAGTATTATCAGTCTAAAAGAAGTTAACAAAATTTCTAAATATTATCAAATATTCAGTCAATTTTTAAATTTATGAATGTGCCATAAATATAATAAACTTTAAATATAATTCATTTATTTTTAATCAGGATCCAAATGAAGTTTGAACGTTTTTATCTTAAATCTTTTATACACTTTTAGTTTATAAATTTTTTTCTCATTATGTTTTTCTTATAATTTGCTTGTTGAGGACAACCAGGTTGTTTTCTGCTTATCTTTTGCTGTATAATAGGCCACCTGAAAACTTAGCAACATCAACATAAAAATGTCTAAGGCTGTAGAGAATTTTTATGAGTTTATTTGACTTTATTTGAATCAAACAGAGGGGATTGGATTACAGGATAGTTAACAAGATTATGTGCTCTCTGGAGGGCTTCTGAGGGATCTAAAAAAGAGGCATTTCAAAGGTGTGTTATCATAGATGCGCAGAAACCGTGGACAGGGCTTAATTAGGCTAAGATAAGCCTTTCACTAAAGAAGTTATGTGCCTGAGTATGACTACCCACCATGACCTGCCCCGTTAGGAATTTATGATCAGATCCGCCTCTGAGGTTGCTTTTGGTTAGATTTATTACAGAGCCCATTTATCGTCCACATGTGACTTAAAACAAAACTTTATTTAATCATCTCCTGGGTTTCTTTGTATTGACAGGACTCGGATACTTCTTGTTTGAGGTCTCTCCTGCAAGTTGCAGTTAGACAATGGCTGGGACCGATGCCACCTGGAGGCGTGACTGGGCTAATTGTCCCAGATGGCTTGTTGACTACTCGCGTGTCTCACGCATCTGTTACCTTGATATTCCTTGCCAGGAGTTTCTGTCTGTCTGTCCCTCTCTCTTCTCTCTCATCACAAGGCACCTTATTCTCTGTGCCCTTCCCTGTGGCTTGTGCTTCTCACAGCCTGGCAATCTTGGGTTATTTGTACTTGTTCCATGGCAGCTGACTTCCAAGAATTAAGTAGTGGGAGATACTGGGCCATTTCATAGTTATACCTGCAACTGGCACAGCTCTACTTTTGTACTTTGCTGTGGCAGATTGGTCAAAATAGTTACAGGGCCAGTCACCGTTCAAGGGGGTCAGTAAGGGCTCTACTGTTGGATAAAGAATTGTCAACTTTACATTGTAGAAAAATATGTGGGATAGGAGATATTTTTTCATTCATTTTTGGAAGGTAAAATCTGCCACATTTGTACTAAAGAATTTATCATAGTCTGGATCTTGGCGATTGCCCTCCTTTGGTGCCATTTAGCATGTTCTTTGGTCTTCTGTACTTTAAATTGGTCATTGAATCTGGAAGCTTGATGCAGTATAATTTTAATATTTTATATCTATATCTACATACTTTTTGAGGGTTGGGTGGCAAGACTAATTCATAGAAGGCCAGGAACTTATACTACATTTTTGACTGAAGGTTTTCCAGACCACAGAGGTAATGTAAATGTCAGCCCCCAACCCAATTGTCGGTTTATGGTTGGGAATATTTTTGGAGATCACTTTTG